ATATGTGGGATACAGTTATGAAGTAGCAACGAAAATAATTTTATGCTTGGGTCACAACATGAGGAACTGTATTTAAAGGGCCAGAAGGTTGAGAACCACTGCTCTTGAGACTGGCTCTTCCCAAGGCAATGACTGCATGACACCCGTTACTGAGCACAATGTGGGCAAACCTCCCTGGTGTATGCGTGCTGGAGAACAAGTAGAAACCTTTCCTGGCCATGGTTTCTCTTCTGCAAACCCACTTGGTGAAGGTGACTTGGTTTTCAATAGAAATCAAAAGGATAGGTTGGTTATATGTTTGCTTCTAGAATGAAGAAGGATGGAGGAGAACAGTGTGGGAGAAGAATAAGAAAATGATTGACCTGCACAACGAGGAATACAACCTAGGGAGACAGAGCTTCACCTTGGCAATGAATGCTTTTGGTGACATGGTGAGTGTGGCTTGGGAGGCTTACCTTGCGCTTCCTCTCCTCACTCAGTTCTATACTGAAATAATCCCTTGCTTGACAACATTCTACTTCTTTTTCTTTGAAGACCCAGGAAGAATTCAGGCAGGTGATGAATGGCCATCAAAACCAGATGTGCAAGAAAAGGAGAGTGTTCCGGGAACCTTACATTGCTGAAATCCCCCCAAGGGTGGATTGGCGAAAAGAAGGCTATGTAACTCCCGTGAAGAACCAGGTATGACAGTACTCAGCAGGTCTCTCTCCAAGAGTTAAAGCCACAAAGGAGTTGGTGTCATGGCTGTGGTAGACTGTAGGACAATGTGTGTTTCACTAATTTTTAAGAGTTTACACATTGTTGGCCAAGTTGTCGAAATCTTGCTATTTGTTCTGTAGACTGAGAGCTTCTCTATTGTTTTCAGGGTCACTGTGGTTCTTGTTGGGCATTTAGTGCAACTGGTGCCCTTGAGGGACAGATGTTCCGGAAAACTGGCAAACTTATCTCACTGAGTGAGCAGAACCTTGTGGATTGCTCTCAGGCTCAAGGCAATAAGGGCTGCAATGGTGGCCTCATGGATAATGCTTTCCAGTATGTGAAGTCCAACGGCGGCCTGGACTCAGAGGAGTCCTACCCATATCAAGCAAGGGTAAGCAAAGCTCTTACCTGTATGTCATTCTTTTTGAAAGTTGAACGCCTTAGGGAAAACAGATGCCATATTTAGAATTCATATTTAAAAAATTATTTTTAGAATTCATATTTTAGATTATAGAGTATATATATATATATGTAAACCATCAGAACTTCCGTCAAAATATATCAGCCTTGAACAGTTCTGTTTGGGATATTCACAGTTCTTATTTCTCTGTTACATGGAGACATACATACCATTCTAAATATAGCGCAGTTTTCTTCAGAGTGAAACATTTCTTATGGAGAGATAGACCGACAGTGGCTCCATGAATAGACACCAGCTAGTTTTTCATTTTCAAAACAGCCAGTAGCATTTCACAGACGTAACCTGGAAATCATGAAGCTACCTCCTGCCTGAAACTCATGCTTCCCGGGAGGTGGGTTAGCAACCAGATCTCTTCCCCTTGACCTTTAAAGGTTGGACCCTGCAGATACAGGCCCGAGGACTCTGTTGCCAATGACACCGGCTTTGTGGACGTCCCTGGGAAGGAGTGTGCCCTCATGAAGGCAGTGGCAACCGTGGGGCCCATCTTGGTGGCTATTGATGCAAGCCATCTTAGCTTCTAGTTCTATAAAGATGGTAAGCATTGTCTGTGTAGAAATCTAGGCAGAAGAACTGGAAAACCACCATGTAAAGCAAGATTCACTCTTTGGTTTGCATACTTTCTGGGTGTGTGGATTTAGCATTGTTCATTGTGCACACACAATAGCTTTCCCTGGTGCTTCCATTTGACATTACTTGAGCTGTATCCTCATGATTTTAAGCACTTTGTAAATATATTTAAATGGCTACATAATTTGATTGGTGTAGCTTAATATACTTTACCTTTTTCCAATTGTTAGGCCTTTAAAATTTTCCAAAAAATTTTGCTGTTGTAATCAAAGCTATAGAGATCCTTTGACTCAAGTAATTCTGTGTTCTGTGCTATTTCCCAAGACTGACATCCTAAAAGTAGAATGAGAAGGCTTCCAGAGTGTCTTTATGCCTCCTGACTGACCCATTGTTTACAAAAGAGATTGTGCCAGTTCAGATTCCTGCTAGTATTAGATGAGGGCCTGAGTCCCTAGCCTAGATTTAAAAAAATAAAAGTTCTTGTTTTCAAATCGTACTTGGTTTTATGTCATTTAGCTGGATTTTGAGATGCCTTCCTTACTGTAGTTGATCTGCGGGGTTACTGTCACCTGCTCTTGGAGGTCCTCATCCCAATATCGAATGTTACTTTCCCAGGCGTTTATTATGAGCGGCGCTGCAGCAGCGTGGATCTAGATCATGGCGTTCTGGTGGTTGGCTATGGCTTTGAAGGAGAAGAATCAAGTAACAATAAATATTGGATTGTCAAGAACAGGTATAAACCCCTAAAAATACTTACATTTGAAAAGGGAGACGTTTTTGGAATCAGTATTTGGATACAGGTTTTCAAACTCTTGAGCACACTTCTGAAATTCCAGAAGTCTTTTTTTTTTTTTCTTTCTATAGTCCTGTTTATTTTTTGGTAGTTCTCACTGGAGGATTTTTTTTCTTGCATTGATTTTCAAATTTTATTTTTAAAAATATTTTTATTGATTTCCGAGAGGAAGGGAGAGGGGGAGAGAGATAGATGAAAGGGAATCATTCAGTGATGGAAGAGAATCATCGATCGGCTGCCACCTGCATGCCTCCTACTGGGATTGAGCCTGCAACCCAGGCATGTGCCCTTGACTGGAATCAAACCCAGAACCCTTCAGTCTGCAGGATGACGCTCTATCCATTGAGCCAAACTGGCTAGGGCTGCATTGATTTTTTAGAGAGAGTAGAAGGGAGGAGGAGAAAGAAATATGGATATGTGAGAGACACAATGATTGGTTGCCTCCCACACCCGCCTGCAACCGAGGTACGCGCCCTTGACCGGAATTAAACCCGGGACCTTTTCGGTCTGCAGGCCGACGCTCTACCCACTGAGCCAAACCGGCCAGGGCTCAAAGCCTTTTTATTTGACTTAATTATGGTTCCACCTCCCATCAGAAGTCACATTATCCCCCCCCAGATCAGCCAAAATGTCTGCATGAGCCTGCATTCCCCTCTCCACCCTGACATCCTGCTAAGGCAGTGGTCGGCAAACCGTGGCTCC